TGTTTTTTCCAAACTTCTTTTCTCTGATTTGTCTCCATGCATAATGCATTCACTCTCACTTTATATAACACACACACACCTTCAAAATTCCTACCCCCCAGACCTTGCTCAAGTTGGAATGTTGTTTTTCTGGAATGTTCTCCATCTCCTATATACTTCACCTACTCATTCTTTAGGCCAGCCTTGATGCCACCTCTTCCATGCAGTCTTCCCTGATTTTGCCATCAGCATTATCAGGGGAGGGTGACACTCGCCCCCTCATATCCTAGCAGTTCATGTTCATCTCCCACTAGACTACTCCAAGATCCACTACTAAACTCAGGGGATGCAAAGGAAGCTAAGACCTCTTCCCTGCTATCAGGGTCTGAACTGTGTCCCCCCACCAAAATACATACGTTGAAGTCCTAATCCCTAGCACTTCAAAATGTGACTGTATTTGGAAGCAGAGCCTTTAAAGAGATAACTAAGTTAAAATGAGGTGGTTAGAACAAGCCCTGATCCAGTATGACTGGTGCTCTTACAAGAAAAGGAGATGAGGGCACAGACATACACAGAAGTAAGACCATGTGGAGACACGGGAGAAGGCGGCATGGCAAGGCCAGGAGAGAGGCCTCAGAAGGAACCAACCTGAACAATACCTTGATCTCTGATGTCCAGCCTCCAGGACTGCAAGAAAATACATTTCTGTTGTTTCAGTCACAGAGTCTGTGGCACTTTGCCCTGGCAGCCCTAGAAAGAGAATTCACCTGCCCTCACGGAACTCGACACCTGGCAGATGTCATGACGGAAATCTCACGCAAACCTGGGGAGAGGCCACAGGTACTATAGTAGAAGATGCTGCCACAGACCGCTAGTTCTTGACCTCTTAACTCAGAGAAACAAGTTTGAGAAGCTCTTCTGACGTGTAGCTCTAGCTCTCTGGGTATAAAGTATACACAAATATCGGGTTCATCAAGATTGCAGAACAGAGAGTATGGGTAATCTGCTCAGAATCACCTCAGCATTCAACTGCCTTGGATAGCACCAACCATGTGGCACAGCACAGAGCAGATTTGGGAAATGGGCAGAGGGAAGGGAGGGAGAAGGAAGCACGAGGGGAGGGGAAGAGAGGGAGGGGAGGGGAAGAGAGGGAGGGGAGGGGAAGAGAGGGAGGGGAGGGGAAGAGAGGGAGGGGAGGAGAGAGGGAGGGAGGAAGGAGAGGGAGGAGAGAGAGGGAGGGAGGGAGGGAGGAGAAAGGGAGGAGGGAGGGGAGGGAGAGAGGGGAGGGAGGAGAGAGGGGAGGAGGAGGAGAGAGAGGGAGGAGGGAGGAGGGAGGGAGGGAGAGAGGAGAGAGGGGGAGGAGAGGAGAGAGGGAGGGAGGAGGGAGGGGAGGGAGGAGGAAGAGGGGAGGGGGGAGGGGAAAGAGGAGAGGGGAGGGGAGGGAGGGGGGAGGGGAGAGAGGGGAGGGAGGGGAGAGAGGGGAGGGAAGGGAGAGAGGGGAGGGAAGGGAGGGAGGGGAGTGAGGGGACGGGACAGGAGACAGGGGATGGGAGGGGGGAGGGGAAAGAGGAGAGGGGAGGGAGGTACTGATCTTCTTGGGGAACAATGACAGAGGTGAACAAACTGGACCAGGCTGCAGGAAGCTCACGTTCAAGTCAAATGATACATTCAGCTTCAAAGTTGAGGATCAAGTGCCTTGTGGGAAGGAGCCCAGGTGAGCTGTGCTTAAAATAAGCACAATAAGCCCACGATTTCCCAGAAACATTAAGAACAGGACGGGGCACAGTACATTCCCCATAGGAATAACATGAAACCACAACCCCAGAGGCTGAGAGCCACACTCTGTAATATTTATCCACCTTCAAATAGCACCGCTGCCTCCAAGGGCAGCTCCGGAGATGCAAAACCCGGAGCTGTGTGTGCACAGCCCACTCTAGATCCATAAAAACGCAATGTTTCAATGAAACATTAATTTTACACATAACAATTTGTTTCTATAGCTAAACATCAGACAGGGAGGCAGTGTTTGAACTTGCAAGCAAGTCCCCTTCTCTATCGCCATGGGAGCAGGCAGAACCAAGCCGTTGGAAGGAAAACCCACATAATGTTAACGCAGCTGCAGCGATGGGGGCTTAAATCCTGGAACTCCTTCTTGCGGGATGCTCTCAAATGCCATGTTTTAAAGTCCATCCCCCTCATCAAATGGTCCTTTTAATTTTGAAGAACACCTGATATGGTAAAGTAAACACGCTCTCTGTTCATGTTGACCACATCTGCAGAGGGCGGTGAGCAAGTTAAAGGAAATAAAACGTTAGGAAGACTGCTCGGCAAACCAGCTGTGTGAGTTTCTGTCTGGTTGTAGCTTTCAAAGATGGTGCTTTCAAGCAGACGTGAAACCCACTGCCAAATCCCGGCTACAATCTTTAGTCCTGTGGTTGCAAGATGAGACTAGAGGGAGCAGAGTACATTTCTAAGACACGTCGTGTGCTGAAAAAACAATACTACGCACGCAACAGGCACTAAGGCAGTGATTTTTTTCTTTTAAAGCAGTTTTACTTAGTTAGCTCGAGGTAACGGGCTGCTTGCCTCTTCTGAGTTTTCTCAGGCGAGGTAAAATTCCTGCAGCCTCCCAAGGTGCAGGATGATAAGGTCTTCCCTGACTGCCCAGTCCGGAGAACGGGTGTGTGGGAGAGGCAGGAGTGGAAGGTGCTGAAGCCCAATGCCTGGTCCAGCATCTGACCCCACAGACACCCACACCCACTACTCACAATGAGGGTGTCCTGGCTTCTACTTCCCGAGTGTTTGCTAAGTGTCAGGCTATGCCCCGTGTGCCACACCTCACCCCTGCCCCTCGCCTCATGCTGGCCAGAGGACATCCATCCCTTAAAACTCCTCTCTGGTTCCTTGGACTTTCTGTCCTCACGAAAGAGAAGCCAACATTGCCCCCCACTCAGGACCGCCCACCCCAAGACACACACACACCTGCCAGCAGTGAGGACGCAAGCCCACCCAGTCACAGAGGAGTCACCCAACCCAGCTGCCGCCCTCAAGGAGCAAAGCCACACAGGCTCCTCTGACTGCCCCCCCACCCCCAGGACCCCATCCCTGCTGGCCCAAGCTCCCTCCTCAACTCCCTCCCAGGCAGCTGCCCTGCACCGGGACTGTGAGGTCAGGTCAGAGGCAGGCTGGGTGTCAGCCTATCCCAAAGACAGCTAGCCTGCCCCCTCCCATGGGGCTCCTCCACCCCCTCCCCAGGAAGCTAAACGACAAAGGGGCAGGAGCAAGCTTCAGGATCAACCACCTCGGCAGATGGGGTAGGGCATTAGAGCTTTCTGGCCCTGCGGGATTTGCTTTTTGTGTTTATTTGGTCCTTTGAGCTCTCAGTTTCTGGGTTACCTTTCCACCTGAGTTAGAGCTGATGGTACAGCAGACACCGTTTGTTCACAAGGACACCTGGCATCTGACCCCTCTCTCAAGGTGCAGGTGGAGAGAACACTCCCAGTGCTCTTCTAGGGAGGTGGCACCTGCCACCTCTGCAAGGCACCCCAGCCGGCACCCTGACTGCCCCCTGCTGGCCCACTGCACCCAGGGAGCCAGCTCTGCCCTCGAAGGGCTGCTAGTCAGGCTGGAGATGCCACGAATGACCCAAGACCAGACACTTGGCACCTGCACCCTGATAGACGCTGGCTGGTTGGGGAGCTGGGTTCTAGGCTGACTAAATTCATTCAATGCTGCCCCTACCCCTACCCCAACATATTCATCTGCCCACCTCGTCCCTCCTCCAGCACAAATCACAGCTGCCTGGGAATAGCCCAGCAAAGCCCGACAGAGGAGATGGGCACGAGTGACTGCCCAAATTATGCCCTTTCCTGGCTCCAGAGGCCAGTGTTCCCCACCCAGGCCACAGCCAATGCATATAGGAACCCTGGCCCTTGGGGAAGCAAGAAGAGGTCTCCTAGGGGACCCCAGGAGATAGCAAGGCACAGGAATGAGGGGAGGCTCCCGTCTCCCCTCCGCATACAAATGTACCATCCTCTGGGGATTCATGGTTGCCACCTCCCTACCCCCATCCTTCTCTGGAAACTGCAAAACCAGAGACCCACAGAGCTGCCCCAGGGTGACTTCAGAGTGGCCCTCGGCCCTTTTGGGGGTGAGGGGGAGTGAGGCTGAGGCAGCCCCCAGGAGAATAATCTAAAGGGACCCTCTGCCTCCTGCACGCACCAACAAAGGCCAGAGGAGGCAGGATCTGGGAAGGGTGGGAGCCCCAGGCTGTGGGTGGAGGAACAGGAGGTCCCCAACAGAGGTGGCAAACTTCCAGCTGGAGCAAAGCCAGAGTAGCCGGGAACGTGGGGGGAGGGCAGGGAGTTTGCCGTGCCAGCCTCACACAGGTCCCCAGCACAATGTGGGGATGAACCCAAGGGGGTACGCGGACCCCAGTGCATCCAGGCGGGGCGACCGGCAGCAGGAGCTCAAGACAGCCGCGGGTCGCACTAGGGAACCCCAGGGAGAGGGGTAACCCAGAAATCCCAGAGTCCTAGAATAGGATTCGAGCTGACCGGGGAAGTCCCAGAGCCTGCGGAGGCGCCACCGCGGAGTCCCGGGTAGACCAGGGAGGGAAGGATCCCGGAACGCGAGGCTCAGCTGGCGGAGCCTGGGCGCGAGAGAGGTAACGCCGAGCTGGGGTGACCCTCGAGGACCTGCAGGCTCCCGAAGCCCCTGGCGACCTCCCCCATAACCCAGGACCTGGAGGCCAGCGGGGGAGTATCGGAGGTGGCCCAGGATCCCGAAATCTGTGGGAATGTCCCCTGCGGTGAGACAAGCGCAAGAATCTGAGGACCTCTCCCCAAGTAACCGGTGACCAGAGGCCAGTAGGGGCGCCGCCGAGGTGACCCAAGTGCCCAAGTCGCCAAGAACGCCCCTGATGACCACAGGGGGGTCTGGGTGGGGGCCGTGGCGGTCCCGGCGGGGCGTCCCGTGGTGTCCCGGGTAGGGGCCGCGGCGAGCGCGTGGAGGTCACTTACGCTGCTGTTCTCGCCCGTCCAGTGCACCATCGCCTGGTTGTGCGTCGCGTCCCCCTTGAGCACGAACGACGTGCTGATGAGCGAGACCTGAGCCCGGGAAGCCACTCCGGCCAGCGGCGCCGCCCGCTCCCAGCGCCGGTAGCCCGTGGCGGTGGCGCCGTCCTCCTCACCGGGACCCGGAGCAGGACCTGGACTTGGACCCGGGGCCCCGGGCTCCGTGCCGCGCGCCTGCCGGTCCTCGCTGCCACCGGATTCCGCGGGAGGGCTCCGTGGCGCCCGGGTCAGTTCGGCATGAGGACCCAGGCGCCCGGGCTCGGGGGAGCGCCACGCCGCCCCGCAAGTGCCCAGCAGCAGCAGCAGCAGCAGCAGGAGCGGCCGCAAGCGCGGCGAGCGCAGCGGCGGCGGAGCCCCAGGACTCGGGGCTCGGGCGGTGGGGCCGCCGGTGCCCTTCGGGGCGCGCGAGGGCCCCCAGTGCGCCATGGTCGCCAGGGGCGGCGGCGGAGCCGGCGGCGGGGCGGCGCAGACGAGGGGACCGCGGCCGGGAGAGCGGGAGGGCGCTGGGGAGCGCGAGCAAGAGCGCAGAGAAAGGAGCCGGTGAGGGGAGGGAGCGGCGGGAGGAGGGGACTCGGCGGGCCCAGCGCCACCCGCGACGCCGAGCGCGCACCGCCACCTGCCGGCCGGTCCGCCGCCCAGAAGCTCGTGGGAAGCCCGGGGTTCTGGAGCACGGCCCCACCTCCAGGCCAGGATCCCCTTCCTAGCTCGGTGGTTCCTCCTTCCCGGCTCTCCCACCTCTTGCCGTCCTCCCTCGTCCCTCTCTCCAGGTCCAGCCACGGTTCTGGGGCTCTGGACTCCCGCTGGGAACAGCCAGGTCCCCGTCCAGGAGCTGACAGCCTGAGGGAGACAGACCACCCCAACAGCACACATTTATAGGCAAAAGAACCCTAAACTAGAACCAGGGCTCCTGGCGCAGATTATAAACGGTTCTCAAGGGGTCTCTGAAGAGATGGCAGTGGAGAGGTTGAGGCCCATGAAGGTCCCTGGGGAGACCTGCTAGGCAGCGGGAGGGGAGTGTGGGGGCAGTGCAGAGGCTCCTAAGGTGTCCTCAGCAGAACTGCCCCAAGGACAGCCAGGCCTCTGACTCAGACATCAGGATGTGCAGTGGCTTCATCTTCCAACCCAGGGGCCACGAGGGAGCTACCCTGAACAGGACAAGCCCCTGTGTAGGGAGGCGTCAGGAGGGGGCAGTGGGCGAGGTCCTAGGGACCTGGCAGGTGCAGTGAGGAATGTGGAAACTGAGGCTCAGAGCACAGCAAGTCCCCACCCAAGGTCCCGTGGCCACTTTAGTTTAGTAGAGATAAAAATGACTTCACAGAGCACCCACCCTGAGTGTCAGACAGGCCTCCAGGAACAAGCAGGGCAGGCGTTTCCCAAGGCCAGGGACAGAGCCTCTGCCAGGCCAGGGCCACCCTGACCCCTGCCTTCCCCCAGAGGCCCTGCGCCAGATAGGAGCCCTTAGGCCGGGGTCCCTGTCACACCCCACCTCCCAGCTGGGTCTCTTGGCTCCAGAGAGAGCCTATGGGGCAGAGGGGCAAAGCCTCGAACATTTGGGAAAGATGGAGAATTGGGGGTTCCCTCTGGCTCTCCAAGAATTGGAGCACCCAGCGCCCTCCCCAGGAAATCATATCCCAAAGCACTGGGCACAGGCTACCTGCCTTCACTCTGTGCCCAGCACTGGGAGTTGGGGAGGGGGAGGTCTGGCCAGATGCCCAAGAAGGTCCCACACTCCGAATGTGCCCTCCTCTTTCACCCCACCATGTAAATCCTGAACCTGTCAGGTTCAAACCCAGTGGGAAGAGGGAAGGGAGGACTCTGCAGCTGTGGGAACATCTGGTCTCACACAGGAAGCAGAGAAGAACAGAGCAGGGTCAGTGGAGGGTGGAGGGGAGGGGAGATGAGGAAAAGGGGACCAAAAGAGGCCTGCAGACCGTGGCTGGCAGGAGAGCACTGCACATGGAGTCAGAGAAGAGACCGTTCGGTTCCACCCCAGCTTAGACAGGAACCACCATGGGGCCTTCCCCAAACACCCAAGCCTCCGTTTTGCCAACTGTAAAGGAAGAGGCTGTACAATCTCTGGGGTCTCTCTCAGTGTTAACTGTTGTTGTTTTGTTTTAAATAAAGGAGGCCTCCAAGTACTACCCTCAAGAAACTTGGCCGGGTGCAGTGGCTCACACTTGTAATCCCAACACTGTGGGGGGCTAAGTTGGGAGGAATGCTTGAGGCCAGGAGTCAGAGACCAGCCTGGGCAACACAGTGAGACCCCATCTCTATAAAAAACATTTAAAATATTATCTGAGTGTGGGCCAAACTACTTGGGAAGCTGAAGTTAAAGGAGGTCAAGGCTGTGGTGAGCCAAGATCATGCCACTGCACTCCAGTGTGGGAGAAAGAACAGAAAGAAGGAAGGAAGGAAGGAGATGGAGGGAGGAAGGGAAGGAAGGAAGGAAGGAGAGAAAGAAGAGAAAGAGGAAGAAAGGAAGAAAGGAAGAAAGAAAAGAAAGAAAAAGAAAGAGAAAGAGAGAAAGAGAGAAAGAAAGAAAGAAAGAAAGAAAGAGAAAGAAAGAAAGAAAGAAAGAAAGAAAGAAAGAAAGAAAGAAAGAAAAGAAAGAAAAGAAAGAAAAAGAGAAAGAGAGGAGGGAAAGAAGAAAGGAAGGAAGGAAGGAGGGAACTGGGGAGAGGGTCCCGAGCAGGAATACAGTTGGTGTGACACCTAGCTACTGATCTTTCCAGAATAATCGCTGCCTCTGCCCTAAATGAGGCTGCAAGACATTGGAAAGAGCAAGGCTGATTCTCCCCTTCTGTGGGTCTGAGTTCAGAGCCACTTTGACTGTCCTAGACCACTCAGTCCCCACCTGCTGGACACGTGGATACAGTGATGAGGGAGACAGACAAGGTTCCCACACTCACAAGGAGCCTCTGTCCTAGTGGGGAAAACTAATTTCAGTTAGAATTAAGTGCTCAGGAGAGAACAGTGCGGCCATCCGAGAAGAGGGAGGGGTGCTCAGGGGTCGGGGAAGCCCTGCTCCCTTCAGAAGTGACATTGAGCTGAGGATCGAGGACCCACCCAGGCATCGCAGGAAGAGCTGGGATGGTGACCCTGATGCAGGAGCTGATGTGTTCAGGGAGGAGCAGGTGCTGGGCTTGATTTGTACTCACAGTCGGATGGAAAGTCGCTGGGGTGCTTTAAGCAGTGGGCTGAGGTTATCAGCATGTTTACAGCCATCATTCTGGCCACAGTGAGGACAGGTGTGTGAAGCCACTTAGGAGGCTACTCCTGCCAGGTCCAGAGAGAGGCTGTGGTGGCTGGGAGCTGGCAGGTGACAGAGGAGGAGAGAATGGAGGGAAACCTGCAGGAACCCATCTGCCACTCCTAGGCGCCTCACCAGCCTTGCACTCACCCTCTTTCGTGACCCACATCAGTGACTCAGGGGCTCCAGTGCCAGGGAAAGACATAGGAGAGTGTAGACAGTCTCTTTTGCTGGCTACACTGTGACCCCTCCTGGCCTGCCTTCATGGAGGAAGAGCGCATGGGACGTCTTCAGAAGCCAGAGTTGGTGTCGGCGGCGCTCACTGAGGAAGCCAAAGGCTCAGAAGGCATGGGGGCATGAGCGGCTGATGGAGTCACTGTGTGTGAGGCTCCCACAGGTGCTGCAAGACTGACGGGGCCACGTGCAGATGCCTGGGCTCAGCATCCGACACTCGGGTGCATCAGGTCAATAGTGAACACTGTCCAGGGCTAAGAAACCTGCCAATTGTTCACAAAGCCAGGACCCTCAGCACGCCCCGCCTTGCTCCCTCATCTCCTTCCCTTCTCCCAGCTCCAGGCCGGGCACTGGGCCTCAGCCTGAATCATACCTGGTGCCTGTTCTTGGGGACTTCACAACGTGATAGGGGAGGCACACAGGTGAACAGAGAGTGACATTAGGGAAACAGGTGCTCCCAGAGAGGTGCCTGGAGCTAAGGGAAGGGAGATCTGCTGTCTGGGGCTGAGGGAGGAAGTCTGCCCGGAGGACACCCTTCAACTATCCTGCCAGGTAATAGAGACAGCAATGATCATAAATGCTACTGAACGCCTACCATGGGCTAGGCACTGTTCTGGATGGAAGGACTCGCTGAACTTCACAACATCTATATAGAGTAGGTATTATTTTCCCCAAGTTAAAGATAGAGAAGGTGAAGGCACAAAGGGATTGAGTAAATTACGTCGAGAATTCAAAGCCTCCTCTCCCATGTGCTGGCTGTGAGGCCCTTCAGCTTCACCCTCACCTCTCTGTTTCTCAAATTGCCTACCTGAGAAATGGGACCAGCACCATCTGCCTTAATGAGAACTGATTCCACATGCTGATTCCTGGGCCCTACCCAGACCAGAAACTCTGCAGTAAGACCCAGGCATCTGTTTTAACATGCCCTCCTGTGCTTCTGGTACACCCCCAAGTTTGAGAAGCACTGGGCTAACCCTGTGGTTCCAGGCCCAGGCTGCCCAGCAGAATCACCTGAGGACATTTAGAAAACTCCTGCTTCCTGGGTCCACTTCTGCCTCAGGCTCAGTGCGGGTGGAGCCCCGTTATTCCATCTTCTCTAAACTCCCCCGTGATGCCAATCACGTGATGCCAATGCGTGACCAGCAGGGCATGCTGCCCCATGGCATGGTTTTTCATCAGGATTCATGAGAAGAAATGCCGAACACCCAGCACATAGTAGGACTCCAATACCTGGTGCGGCCAGGTGAGCCCCAGTCCGAGCCTCTTGGCTTCAAGAGCCGCACTTGCCTCCCCATTGCATGGCAAGCCTCCTAATCCAAAAAGGGATACTTTGTCTTTCCAACTTTTAATCATACCACTTGCTCATTAAAATCCCAGGTTTTCTAAATTACTGAAGGTCTCTAGTGATCATATTTTAATTTATCTTTATACATGTGACAAAGCTCCAATTGTGTAGCTCCCTAAGCAGGGCCTGCCTCAGAGATGTCAAGGATCCGTGATGAGGTTCACTGGAAATGCCGCGGGCCTGGCAGGAGGGAGCGCTGCAGGGACGGGCTGGTGGTCTGCTGGACTCTCCAGAGGGGAAGCCTCTGGGCCAGCCCTGAGCAAGATTCGTAAGTTTTATACCTGCTGTCAGGGCAGGAGGACAGTAATGACCTGCAGAGAAATCTCCTAATGACTTTAGCAAACAGCAAGGGGTGAGAGGGGATAGCTTTGAGCGAGAAGGATCAAGCTGACAATCTCATTATCAGGTTGTCAGGAGAAACAGAGCCAGACAGTGGCTTTGGCCGGTCAGGACTTTAACTCAGGCCAGGAGCACAAGTCTGATGTGGAGACCAAAGGGAAGCGTATCCACATGTGGAGGAAGGAAAGGCACCCACAGGGAAACAGAAGAGGTCACCGGCTGCGTCCAACCAGAAGACAGAGGGCAGGAGGGGAGGAAGGCTCAGAAGTTCTTCTTAGAGGGGTTGTTGTGTTTTAATGGATGCAAGGAATTCTTATCCCTTGGACATCGTCTCTGTGGACCAGCCGGACCCCTGATGTGTGAGAGGGGCAGTTAATGCACCACAAAAGGGTCGGTTCCTTTCTTCCATTTACTAAATGTTTACTGAGCACCTACTATGTGCCTGGCACTGTTCTAGGCCCTGGGGAGATGGCAGGGAACAAACTCGACCAGATCCCTGCCCTCATGGACTCACGCCATGGTGGGGACACAGACAAAAGGCAAGGAGAAGCAGCTCTAGCAGCCTCCAGCTGGACAGGCGCCCCAAGATGGGATTGCAGGCAGCAGGACCCCAGAGAGGCATGAGTAACCTAGACGGTCACTGGAAGCTTACCCAAGAAAGTCGCCTCGGAAGCTGAACCTAGGAGGACAGGCAGTGTTTAAGGAATTGGGGAAGAGATGGTGGAGGGGGTTGAAAACCAGCCGGTGCAAAACACGCAGAGACAGACGGCACAGGGGCCTTTGAGGAACTGGAGAGCGAGCCGCAGGGCGGCAGAGTTCAGCACGTGGAAGCAGGTAGTGAACACCAAGCCTCCCCAGGTCTGCCCAGCGTCCACTGAGGCGTCAGGGGTCCCAGGCCCTGTGGCAGGCACTTGGAAGCCAGGAGGTGATCAGAACCAGTCCCCATCCTCTGGGAGGTTAACACCAGGTGATGGGGACTGGCAGGTCAGTATGACGCCACAGGGGGGCAGCAGAGATGGCGATGCCTCTCCAACGTGGGCCTGCCAGGGGCCAGCTCCGCTCCCGGTGCCACGGTGCTATGTCGCCGCCTCTCCCGATGCGGGGGGGAGTGGGGCTGGGTGGGTGGGTTGCATCATCACCTCCTTCTTATAGAAAAAGAAACCAAGGCACAGCACCAAAAGGCAAGGGGACTTGCTCAAGGTCCCAAAACCAGCAAGGGGCATCAGCGGGCCCTGAACCCGTCCATCCAGCTGAAGAACCCCTGCGCTTCCCCGATACACCCACAGGCTCCTGAGGGCTGACATGGGCCTGGGTGACAAGTGGCCTGAGCCCTGCTCCATGCCAGGGCCCCTGCCTCAACTTTCTCATGCATTAATCCTCACCCCACCCCACAGGGCTAGGTTATTACCACCACCACCACCTGGGGAGACTGAGGCAGAGCTCCGACTGTGATCTACCAGCTCTGCAGCACATAGCATGGGCCCACCCTGAACCCCACT